CCAAACCTGTTGCTGAAGAGTGGATTCTAACTCTTAGCAGCTTATGTTAGATAAAAGGCAATGGGCAGGGCATGGTGGAATTTCAGAGCAGAAAGAAGCCTTGAGGATCACCTGTCCGCCGCCTTGTTTTTGGAAGGATCCTGGTCGGCCTGGAACTGCTTCAGAGTGCTTGCCGTCACTGCCCCTGTGCCCGTCACTGCCCCTGTGCCCGTCACTGCCCCTGTGCTCCCCTAATGCTTAGCCCACGGGCCGCGAGGCCCCCAGGGGCTGGCCTGTGTGGTCCCACAGTATCTCCGGCAGCCAGCACAGCATCTGGCACACAGTAGGCCCTCAATGAGTGTTGATTCCAAAGTTTGGGGTGTGCCTTGTAAAAGGGTCAAACGGGGAGTGTGTCACACACGCTCCAAGGGGCTATATGTGTATGTTTCGTGAATCAATAATACAGCAAGGCAGTACCCTGAGTCTCCCTTTATGGATGATGTATTTGAAGCACAGAGAGGTTAAGTAGATGACTCAAGGTTACACAGCTAAGAGGAGTAGAGCCACAAAGCCAGGGTGCTGGCTCCCTAGCCTGTGTTTCTGACCACCATGTGTCTTCACTGTAGATTCTGAAGGCTTGATGGTAAAAGAGAAAATTGTCCCAGTTAACGGAGATCATCATCACGTGGTTCCTTCCAGAGCGTACTGACACCAACAGACTGTGTAATGGAATGACTCCTTGAGCATGTCTGCACCCCTGAGCCATTCCCAGCAGTTAGGACACCACTACTATGACGACCAACGCTGTCTGCATCTGGCATTGCATGCATCAGTACATGAAAACAGTGCTCTATTTCCCTTAACCGTTTACGGAATGCTTTCACATTCACATTCAGTTCTTGCAACAACTCCATGAGGAGAGAATGGTGTCCTTACACCCATTTTAGAGCTATGGACTCTGAGGCTCAGGATGGTGAATTCACTACACGAGGCCTCAAGGTTGGTTAGTGACTGGTGCTGCAACTTGTGGGTTGTTGTTGTCGTTGCTATGTGCTGTCAAGTGGGCCCCAACTCATAGTCACCCCTTCGTGGGTTTCCGAGGCAGTATCACTACTAAAGTAGACTGGCCAACCGTCCTTCCAAGGAGTGGCTGGTGGGTTTGAACC